TTTTTTTTTTTTAAGTTTATTTTTGAGACACAGAGAGAGAGCATGAGCAGGGGAGAGGCAGAGAGAGAAAGGGCGAGAGGGAGAATCCCAAGCAGGCTCTGCACTGTCAGAGCAGAGCCCGATGCGGGGCTTGAACCCACGAAGAACGAGATCATGACCTGAGCGGAAACCAGGAGTCCCATGCTTAACCCACTAAGCCACCCTGGCGCCCCGTGTTGCAGTTGTGTATCTGGGCTTGGATGAGGCTTCACCACAAAGGGTGGGATTCTGAGGAGCTAGAGGTTCATTAAAGGACCAGAGCCTGGAGCTCCGAAGTCCTGCGGGGCATGGCTATAGAACAGAAACATTGGAAGTAATAGTGCAGCAAACCCGCGGAGACCTAGGGGAATGGGCGTGGCTCTAGGCCGAAGCCTGAAAGGGAGGCAGTGAGGGGCGTGGCCAGGGGCCAAACCTGGGGGGCCTGGAACAGAGGTCAAAGGCAGGGGACAGGAGTGTGGTTACCGGTAGGTTGCTGAGGCTTCTGGATAAAAGGTGGCCATCAGGTTGGATGTGGAACTTCAGTATAAAGAAAGGGTGGGGACAGGAACTAGAATAATCCAGGAAGGAAACAGGCTCTTGAAAGGGTCTGGCTGGAAGGGGCAAAGACGTCCTTGGTCTTTGAGAAGACTGAAGGGGCGTGGCCTGGGTTTGGACATCCAGGGGGCGTGGCTACGGGGGGCCGACCTCGTTGGTAGGAGGCCGAGGGCACAGGGCCCTTGGCCAGGTCCTCCACCTCCCAACGCCCCTGCCACTCTAGCCAAGACCCACGCGAGGTCGCATGAGGATCCACTCGCTGGAAAACGTGGACAAGGCGCTGCAGTTCCTGAAGGAGCAGCGCGTGCACCTGGAAAACGTGGGCTCGCATGACATTGTGGACGGGAACCACCGGCTGACCCTGGGGCTAGTCTGGACCATCATCCTGCGCTTCCAGGTGATCCCCAAGTGACCCCTGCCCAGCCCACCCTCCCAAGGTGTGGCCTTAGGAGGGCTTCCGCCACCCAGTCATCTGCTTATTCATTCATTCATTCATTCATTCCAAAAATTTTCCTACTATGATCCAGGAACCCTATTCCAAGTGGTGGGGATGAAAATTATGATAAAAGTAATAATCATTATCACCACCACCACTGTGATCATTTATATATTTTTCACCCTGTTCCAGGCACTGTTCTAAGCACTTGGCATTTAATACACACGACCCCATATACATACAATATACATACAACCCCAAATACATACAACCCCATAAGGTAGATACTATTTATTATATTTTACCAGGGAGGCAACTGAAGCCCAGAGAGGCAAGTAATATGCTCAAGGTCACACAGCTGGATAGTAGAGCTGGAATTCAAATCCAGTCAATTTTGTTTCAGTTCAGAAACAAAATCGACACATTTTCTGCCTTTATGGAGCTTACATTGTCGTGAGGGAGACAGACAATAAACAAACCCATAAATACATAGACAAGAGATGTATGAGAAGTGGATAACTCTAGGTAAGAGCTATGCAGAAAAGAATAGGTTATTTTTAATATATTTTTTAAGTTTATTTTTGAGAGCGCGAGTGGGGAGGGGCAGAGAGAGGGAGAGAGAGAATCTCAAGCAGGCTCTGCAATGTCAGTGAGGAACCTGATTCGGGGCTGGAGCTCACAAACCTGAGATAATGACCTGAGCCAAAATCAAGAGTCAGAACCTCAATGGATTGAGCCAGCCAGGCACCCAAGAATAGATTATGATAAGGCAGTAAAAAGAATGCAAAATATCAGGTTGACAGTGTTGAGATTTTAGACTTGGTGGTCAGAGAAGGACTCTCTGAGAAGCTGATGGCTGCATGACGTAAGATGAAGGGAGAAAGCATTCCAAACAGGAGGCACAGCCAGGATGCAAAGGCCCTGAGGGAGGTGGGAAGGAGCTGAAATGTTGGAGGTCCAGAAAAACCAGTATGTCTAGAGAATAGGAGACAAGGGGGAGCCAGGGAGGAGATGAGGTCAGAGGAGTTGACAGGGCCTAGGTGATCTGTGATTAGCAGTTTTGAATTTATTCTGTTTGAGATGGGGAGAAATTAGAGATTTTTATCAAAAGGATAGACATCATCAGATTTATTTATTTATTTATTTATTTATTTATTTTAAATGTTTATTTAGTTTTGAGAGAGAGAGAGAGAG